TGATCCTGTTTCAAATGGTAAAATACCTGCGACTCCGAAGAACCAGATTCTAATCCGTGTCGGCTCTGGAATTTTTGTGAGTGATCTTATCCAATAAATTGGATCTTTTTCTCACCATACGTTTCTTCAATGTAGGGCTGGACCCTGTTGCATAAAACTTATAACTTACAAGCTATTAGTTACAAACTACAACACTTGTAAATGGTAGGAAATACTTGCGGCTTGTTACTGATTAAAAATAACTTTATGCAATCAAAATTACTTATGAATAGTAACTCGTAAAAAACTTGTAGTTTGTAACTTGTTATAAAACTTTTTATTTAACACATTTTGCTTGTAATTTGTACAAGCGTTTTATGCAACAAGGCTGTGGCCGTCTCCATAATGAGTATGAAAAAGTTCTCTTAAATTTTTAGCTTTTCCTGCAGCAGAATTTAAAAAAAAACCATTTCAAGTTAAATAAGAAACACAAGGCTTGATGGAATAAGGTAACACAACACTTAGAAGCAGCCTCTTTTCCAATACTTTTGTGAAAGAGGCATCTCCTGGGAGGAATTTCTATGGGAAATTGCCCCCTATTTAGATGTTAAAAACGTGAAGAAACTCCAGAAAAATTCACGAGTCCAGTCCTTTCGTAAGACGAGAACCCACGACCAACACCAGTGCTTTATCCACTTAGCCACTAGTAGTAGCTTAAGGAAAAGAATGTAATGTTATGCTTATTTGTTGTATTCTGTATTATTAAAATGTAACACTTCTGTTTTAATGCAATGGGATATGAAATTTATACAATTATACAGATAATTCGTATATTAGGAAAATCTCGACAAGAAATATATGCTAAAAAAACATTTATTTACTTTTGTCAAAGGCAAAAATGAATGCATACATCTTTTAGCATACGCATCCTGTTTTTTCGTTTCTCACCTAACGTTTTATTAGAATTAAAGTGAAATTCTTTCATTTTCGAATAGTTGACCCCCTGTAACACTGTTGATTATTCCATTTTATACGAATTCCATGTTGTACGAGTCACTTAGATTTTACAAATACGTGTGCCGGGCTGTAAACGGCCCACGTATTTGTAAAATCTAAGTGACTCGTACAACATGGATTTTATATAAAGTGGAATAATCAACAGTGTTATAGGGGGATCGACTGTCTCAATTCAATTAATAACTTCTATTACCTCAAAACATACAATGTATATTGATAAGTAAACGCGGAACTTTGGAAAAAATATACTGATACCAATCAGAAACTTCCTCCAAATTACCCCGAAGGCCACTGAAGACCTATAAATAAAGTTTTCTACTCCGACTTCCTCACTACACAAGTTGTAATTGCTGTTGTTATTATCGTCATATTGTTTATTACTTACACTTAAGCCGTGTATATTGCGAGGTGAGGTATTTTTCTTTATGCTTTTAGTATTTTCTTTTGTATCCTTAAACTTTCAACTCTTTAATGTAAATATTTATTTTACGTACGCATAATTTTAATTATATTGAGTAATGTACTGTATGTGAGATCCGAATAGCCCCGGGTCTAAAATAATAATTTAAAATTAAAGTAAAATCTTTACAGAAGAATATTCTTTCATTTTGATGAAAAAAATAACGTTTTCTAGCGTGGGAAAACATAAGAGAGTCACTTCCTTTGACGGAAGTATGAGCATCCTCTGTTTTTTCCTTATCTGTTAGAAATCTCGCTTCGATGAGAACTGTCTACCTCCTCATTTATTTAAAACCCCTTCCCATCCGTTCACGTGGATGGAGCCTCCAATGATAATTGGTCGTAAATCCGAAGATATAGGCCGTAGTTCAGCCGAATTCGAGGAGTTCGTCGGTAGATCCGAGAGTGACAAGACTCCACTCGTTTGCTCTCTAAGGCCAACATCCTTAAGAGTTCATCCGTAGATCAAAGAGTGGAACGGACATAACACATATGCCAGCAGACCAACGCCATAGTCGTTTCCTATCAAGTTAATCCTAAGTTATCAAGGAAGTACCTTCGATACATAAGAAGACTACAAAAGCTCCTTTAACAGGTTGTATGTTATTTAAGGAATTGTGAGCTCTCTCTCTCTCTCTCGTAAATGTATAGGTTAAGAATATTTTCCGATTTCCTATTAATTAAATAGGAAAGCCATTCTTGTAGACGACCGAGAGCTATTCTCACGGAATAGATTGCCTATTAAGTGATACAGGAGTAACAAACTTCCCTGTATCCCAGGCTGAATCTCACATGTATATCTTTACCGAGTAGTTTCTGTATAATTTGTCTATTACTGATATCGTAGATTTAGTTTGATTCTATAAATTAGGGGCCGTCCATAAATTACGTAATGTATTTTGGGATGGGTGGGAGCAATGATTTCTTACGATTTCTTAATCAGGAGTAGGGGTAATAGATCTCGTCTTACGTAATACAGTATTGTTATTTTTATCTTTTGACCCTCGTTGAGGCGGTTTCTATTAAGAACACTCGCAGACTCACGCTCTTTTAGAGAGGTTGCGGCCGACGTTTTCATCAGGAAAACGTGTACGTCTGACGTTCGGCGCCGCATTCCTGTAAGCCTAGAAGTTTGACAATGACGTTTGGAACGTCAGTGGAATCACGCTCGACGTTCCAAACGTCATTGTCAAACTTCTAGGCTTACAGGAATGCGGCGCTGAACGTCCGACGTACACGTTTTCCCAATGGAAACGTCGGCCGTATTTTTTATCGTGGAAGAAAGGCCATATGGTTGTTATTCTTCTCTATTGTTTTGTTTTGTATGACGTTTCTGTTTACGCGTGCGCTAGCTAGTCGATCAGTCAATGTTTTTTGCGCCCTTTTGTATTAAAATTAATAGAAAAATGAATATTATGACGTTGATTAATGTTAATAATAATGAAAAGATTGTTAATAATTAAAAAAAAAATAAAGTTGTTAAAATAAATTGTTCATTCGAATTCATTAAATTTTCATATTTTTTAATTTGTTCACATAAAGTCTTTTATAAATAATACTACATATTAATTAACTGATTAATAATTATATATTTTGGATTTAAGATGTTTAGGGTTTCATAAAAAAGTTTTTTCTTGTTAAAATCTTCTTTAAAATCATGCCGAAATATTACTTAAGATAGGGAAGGGGGAAGGGGAGGGGATCAAAGAAAATATTACAGTTTCTTGCACGAGGATGGGTGGGGTCTAGAATGGCCGAAATCACCCTTATGTAATTTATGGACGGCCCCTTATGTAAAAGTGATTTGCCTGTAGCCTATTTAGTACACGTAAAATACGCAAAACATGTTAAAAGGATTTTGTAGATATAAATTAAACTTTTGTGCAAAATTTGGCCCATTTAACATAAGACAGGCCAATATTACGCAAGTATCATCATACCAACATTACGTACGGATATCAAGACAACATTACGTAGAAGTATCACGTCGGCATTATCTATAGGTATCTTGTATAGGATACCTGTGATAAAATGCAGAAAATTTCACTTTTAAGGATGGTAGAAGATAAACCGAAACCAAAACTGAAACTCGCAATTACCAGTTTTATGATAACATCTCATGCCAACATTACGTAAGATCAAGCCAAGATTATTTTTTGATAACGCTGTAGGCGTAAAATGGTATTTCGAAAGATAAAAATGTAGGTCAAATCTGTTAGTTTTTTCATACCCCGTGATATATTACAGTTTCAAGGCCATTTTTAAGTGAACGGTTTATTTACAAGAGAATACTTTTTAGTTTCGGTTTGGGTTTCGATTTGCTGCCTGAGTTTTGCGTACTTTTAATGAATATTCCTGTATTTTAATTTACGTATATTTGGTATTTTGAAAATTCGAATTTTTAGCAACAACAAATATTAGGTCAGTCCATAAGTTCGTGCGTATTTTATGACCTTGAGAAAAATCTTGTTTTGCTGTTAAAAATGCCAGTCTAATGCGATACTTTTTACACTGAAGTGTTAAATTGGATCTCATTCATATAATCCTGTTCAGAATTGGGAACATTTCAGTTGTTTATTTTCGTTAAAATAGAAGTAACAGATGAATATAAGAGACATGTTTTATACTTTTTATTTTTAAGTGATGAGAATGCTATAAATGCATCCAAAAAAATTAAATACTGTTCATAATCAAACTGTAATTTGTGTAAGGACTGCTATGTAGAAGTACCTTGTTAGCATTATCTATAGGTATCTTATATAGGATATCTGAATCATAGAATCATCCTGATCTTATGTAATGTTGGCATGATACCTTAGGTAGTATGTGAGATGTTATCATAAAATGGGTAATTGCTAGTTTTGGTTTCGGTTTATCTTCCACCATCGTTAAAAGTGAAAGTAGAAGATAAACCGAAACCAAAAGTGAAACTAGCAATTACCTGTTTTATGATAACATCTCTTGTACTACCTAAGGTATCATGCCAACATTACGTAAGATCATGAGAACATTATGTACAGGCATCTTGCGAGGATTGTCGTTAGTTAATAGTGTTTCTCCAATGGGACTGCAGGATCCCAGGAATCCCAGATCTGGGCTGTTTTTTAACCCGGGAAATCCCACAAATTTCTTCTTAAAAATTCACTTTTTTCTTATTTTATGTTATAGTTGAGGAAATTTTGCAAATAGAAGGTATAATTAATTTAACCCATAAACTGTCAGAATACATTTGTATTTATTAATTTTAAGCCTGCTTATTAGTTTTTAAAATGTTTGATTATTACGGCGCATCACAGATTGTAAATATAATATTTGAAATAATTATGTTTCTGCTATTTTAATTTTTAACCATCCCCGGTAGCTTCGATAACTACATTATGCCAGGTTAATCAAATTGGGCAAGGATACAGACGAGTACAAAGTATGCAAGTATGAAGCTTTTCTTCATAAACCCGATTATTAATGCCAAACGTACTGCTGAATTATTGGGCTATATGCTTGATGCTGCCATTAAAGCAGTCGAGGTAGACAGATCGAGAATACTTGAGAGCAAATTCAGAGGTGCTGCAACGCATCTCGAAAACAAACTAGAAATCTTTGAGGCTACGGGTGAGAAAACATAGAAAATCTGTCTTCTCTTAATTTAAAAAAACTATACGCAACCGAACGTCTTCTACAAACTCTTTTAATTGGTTAGAAGTTTATGATGTGTTCGGACAACAACTGAAGGCCGAGGATTGCTGTAATTTATTCATATTTTTTTAAGTGGAAAAATAAGAAGTTAAAGAGTATTTTTAGCATAATATAAATAAGTTGACTTCAAACATTTTAAATATCCTGTTAGAAAGTTCTGTTATTTTCCTTTTGTGCTTCCTGAACACAGGAATATCTAGATTGCTTGCTTCCTAATTTATAATAAATTCAAGCAGTTTTGTTTCTTTATTTCTGTGAGATCTGAATATCCTCTGTGACTAATTTATAATTTAATTATCGAGTTAAATTTTAGCGAAAAATATTCTTTAATTTTGGTGAGAAATTTATGGTTTTCTAAACGAGGGAAACTGATAAAAGTCACTTCCTGCAACGAAAGTTGAAACATCCTTTTGTTTTACCCTTATCTACTACAAATCTCAGTACCCTGGGAATTATTAACCCCTCGATACATCCCTTTTTTTCCTCTGGTCACGTGCGAGAATCCAAAAAACTGATTGGAGATCAATTGTGAGATATAGGAAGAATTTTTCTTGATTCAGAGAGTACGCCAGAAAATCCGAAAGAAGGAAGACGAACTCCACACCATCTCCTGAAGGCCAACGCCTGTAGTCGTTTCCCGCAGATTTAAATAATGAGTTCAAGTTAGAAATAATAGGGAAGAAAAATATAAATATGTGCCGATCGAGTCATACTCCAGAAAGAACTGAAGTATCAATCATAAAGAACCGAAGAAGATAAAAATCTCCCAAGGTAGTATGATCATTGTAGAAATTTGTGAGCTCTCTCTCTCGAAACGTTTATTTTAATTATACCCTTTTATAAGTTAGTTTATCCTGTTTCATTAAATTATTGTTAAGAAATGTCTCCTCCTGTCTGAATCAAACATATTCCATCCAAGAATCAAACGCGTGTTAATCTGCGTACTTAAATTTGATTAACTGGTGTTGGGAATCCTGACGTGAGGGAAAGGTGATTACGAGATCACCTAGTTTTGCCAGAAATTTACGCTCTCCTATAAAAAGTATAGAGACCGAATCTCGCGAATCTGAGTCAATTAAGTGGTACCCATTCTTCGGATTGTACCCCCGACTAGTCTCACATTTTTATTGAATAATAATAATGTGCTATTAAATTTGTATTCTATTTTTATGTTACTAATGCAACAATGCTAGTGATATAAAAAATAAAGCTGTGATGCCATATAATATAGAAAAACATTTAAAATTAAAATAAAATAAAGTATTAAAGAATTTTTTTGCTTTCCTTTTATAAAATTACTGTAAATTATACAGAAATTTTATTACATTTTATTTGTTAAAATAGCCTATACAGTTTTCAAACCGAGTAGAGATTAAAAATTATCTTTTTATTACGTTTTTGCTTTCTAATCAATAAAAACATCAAATAATACATCGAGAAGTGGAAATAAAATTGATTAAAATTATTGAAATGAGCCGTGTAATAGAAAGTATCTAAAATCCATAGAAGTGTTTATGTTTATGTTTCTGTAGCCAGTATAAAAAGCAATTAAATATTACGGCCCTAAGCTATAATATAACAGGTCCTTCTCCTCCTTCCAGTAATACAGTCGATCCCCTATAACACTGTTGATTATTCCGTTTTATATGAATTCCATGTTGTACGAGTCACTTAGGTTTTATAAATACGTGTGCCGTTTACAGCCCGGTACACGTATTTGTAAAATCTAAGTGACTCGTACAACATGGAATTCATATAAAATGGAATTATTAACAGTGTTATAGGGGGGTCGACTGTAATACATTTAAAAATGAGGGTTGAAGCTAGACTTATAATAGGCCCTGAGCTACTTAGCTTAGAGGCAATCTGGCTTTGATCTCCTTCTCTCACCTCTCAGCTGACCTATTATGCACTTGTGTGGCTGAATACATAATAGGTATGAAATAAAGACCCTTTTAGCATTCACAGAGCAGAGAGAGAAATGAAAAAAGTTTTAAAATTCTTTTATAAGTTTTATCATTAAATGAATTAATAACTTATCAGTTATCTTGTGATGGTGTTGTTTGTCGAGAAAGTATTGAGTGAAATCATACAGATAAATTAGTTTTCCATATAATGTTATCTTTCAAATGTTGTTATCTGATAATTAATAATTTGAAAACATGCATAATCAGAAGTAGAAACAAAACAAAAAATAATTTATTAAATAAATAGAGCTGTGCCGAAAAGATAATTTCTTCTTTTCTGATTTGCAGGACGGTAGACTCGGAGCGGAGCAAAGGATGCGTGATATTAAAGGAAACGGTAAGATATATTTTAATTATTACTGGTATATTAATTTGATCAAAGAGAATGTAGGCTATCCAAATGGCATCTTCATTTGCTCTTTTTTTCGCCAGAAACTTTTCTAAAACATGCCGAGGTTTGATCTTATTTGAGACTACGACCTCACTAAATTATATAAAAGACAAGAAATGTCCACCAGTGATTGTATAACTGTGAAAACAAGTATATAACATTAAAAAATTCAGGTCACTCTTGTCTTTACATAATTTACTGAGGTTCTAGGACAAATGAAAGATTGAATCTCTTTAGATGAGTTTCTGGAGTGAGAAAGGAAAAGTGAAGATGCTTTTTAGATACCATATATTTCCGCAGATAAGACGAGGTATAAATTTTCATTAAAAGTTTTATAGTTTTAGCATATATCTGTTTTAAAAGACGACCCCAGATTTTGGGGGTCTTCTTTTATGATTCAATTATTGTTTTATCTGCGGAAATATACAGTATTCTATATTTGTATTTTTAACAAACTTTAGTGTTGATTTTTAAATGCTATGAGTTATCGTGTCGTAACTAGGGCGGTGCCAGTGGTGCCCAGACACAAGGCAGACTCTGGGGAGGGCACAGAAATGACCTGGGCCAAGTTTTGGGGCATAGTTACAGAAGCTTGCACTGGGCGCATAAAAGATTTTAAAGAAGAGGAGTTTATTATTAAACGTTTAAATGAAGAAAGACAGGAAGCAATTTCAACAATGAGCAATCTGCTCTTCGAAGATCTATTGTACTGCAACATTTTACTTAAATGAAACAGTACTTTAGGACTACGACAAAAGGTCCTTTTCAGGACCATACAATTTCGAAAAGAGTGATCCTATCACAGATAAAATAATTTTTTTTTATTTATTTTAAATAAAAATATTACTTAACGTAACCTATGTAACAAATATTCCTCGAAAGGATTTAAATTATGATTTTTCAATTTAAATTTATTTTGGAAATATATTTAATTTAATGTTTGTTGTACCAAATATTTGGTTTTCATACACTAAAATTAGCAGATTTATGTTGACATTTTATGTATTTGATGTGGTTAAAAACACTTTTAAAGTCATTATAGAGTTTATTTATAGAAAGCTGAGCTAGAAATATAAATTAATGTCTTTATTTTATATACAAATTTCAAAATTTTGTTTAAAACTTACATTTTGGACTTAACACATTACTTAGATATAAAATATGAAAACTCCATATTGTAAAATAACTTATTTTCAATCCTTGATCTTCTACAGTCTGTTACAAAAGTATAGGAATACTTTTATATGAATATTTAAATTTTTTTTATAGAAAACAGTTTTGTATATGTTAAAACATATTTTTGTCAACAAATACTAATCAGTTTTACCTCCTCATCCATCCCATTTACCTCCAAAACCACCCCAAATCATTACAGACCCAGCCCCTTGTTGCCGGCTTATTTTAACTCTTCTTTCTCTTCTTAAATCATGCCAATAATATGAAAACCTATCAGGGTCATCTAAATTAAACTTTTTCTCATCACTAAACGTTGTTTCTTGCCATTCTTCAGTTCATACCATCTTGTCTTTAGCCCAGCGTAAATGCATTGATTTGTGTTTGGCAGTTAAAGGTGGTTTCAACTTCATTTTTAAATATTTTACATTGTCATTGTTTTTTAAAGTTCTCCAAACAGTCACATGAGATACGTCTATTGGTAATTCGGCAGCATTTTGCCTCGTTGACATGTTTTTATTAGTTATAAGCTTAAAATCTTCTCTCTCAGGGATGTTAAACATTTAGGCTGTCCTGACTTCCTTTTTTTGCCCATAATTTTTACCTTGTTGGAAAACGTTTCGAACAGCATTCGTACATCTATTTACAGCAGCAGGAATTTGCCTCAGAGACTTGTCTGAACCACTCAAATAATAAATTTTACGTATTTCTTGCTCCTGAAGTACAGTTCCACGAGGCATTGTTGAAAATGTTTATAAAACATTCAATAAAGCATTGAAAAAAGCCACCATGACAGTTAAAAATGATGACATCTCACTCTAGTCATGATAATTTTAATTATTATTATAATAAATTCATTTTTAACAGACTTATATTTTTGTAACAGACTGTAATATGTTCTAATTGATAAACAAAAGGTAGTGATTTTCACAAATAGTGCAAAAAGTGAGTTTTAATTTACTCAACAAGTATTAACCTTAATAACTCTATGTTAAGTTGTTCCGCTTCTTGCTTCTTCCTTTCTGTATGTTGTTTCATATTCTCTGTTTTTATGCCCTCCTCTATTAGCTGGATTTGGGCTTTCTCTAATGAGTTAATGCTATAAATATAATATAAATAATTATTTTTTAGAAAGTAATTATTAATATTTAGTATTATTTTATCTGAATATTATTTACTATCATCTTTTGGGTGATGGTGGATCATCTGCCCCTTCCATATTTTCCCTGACAGCTGTATCACTACAGGTGAAAATAATCCCGAATTAGAGTACAGTCGACCGCCCTATAACACTGTTCATTATTCTGTTTTATATGAATTCCATGTTGTACGAGTCACTTAGATTTTACAAATACGTGTGCCGGGCTGTGAACGGCTGATGTATTTGTAAAATCTAAGTGACTCGTACAACATGGAATTCATATAAAACGGAATAATCAACAGTGTTATAAGGGGTCAACTGTATTCATTTGTAGCTGTAAGTGATTCAGTATTATTTTCATATGTAATGATAAGTGGTGATGGTGGATCATCCGGATTGGGTAAC